CGTCCAGATTACAATCATACTATATAGAACAGGGATCCATCCAGACTGCGACCATTTTTTGAGAATGTGCGAGTTAAAATTGTATGTGGTCGCACATGTTCAAGCAGTCCGTAACTTATGTTCAAAATGAACGAGTAGGCTACATCATGAATCCATTTTCCAAACCGTGTTTTTGACTGATCCTGAATCACTACGGTACGCCTATAATAAGTGTTTATATTCGGATGCGGAGTGTCCCAGTGCCTGCGTGACTTGCCATAGACATTAATGGAGAGAAGTAGCTCCGCCTACAGTGTTCTTCCGCGAGACACGTGCAGTTTATTTACTTACCAACGTAGATTAACACAAAGTGGTCAAGCATCAAACTAGACGCGAATTTGACGCGCGATTCGCGTCCGGTGTGAATGCACAGTAAGGAGTGTTTTATTTTTACATTTGATTATTCAGTTTCTGTTGTTAAATAAACCTAATATAGGCCTACCTGAAACCCTAAACCCACTGGTTTACACTCGGGATGGGCAACGATTAATCGCATCCAAAATAAAAGTTTATGTTTACATAATATAAGTGTGTGTAGTGTGTATAATTAATTTGTATAAATACCCACACATGCATGTACATATTTGAGAAATATGTGCATGTATATATTTTATATATATTTATTCACAATTATTATATATAAATATAAATATTTGATATATTAATGACACATTTTTCTTAAATATATACATGCATGTGTTGGTATTTATATATACAAATTAATTATACACACTACACACACACATATATTATGTAAACACAAACTTTTATTTTGGATGCGATTAATCGTTGCCCATCCCTAGTTTACACTGACATTAAAACTACATACTTTGTATGTTATGCTGCAGTAAAAACTGCTGTTCACTTTCAGAAGTTGTAGGGACGCTTTCTTCTCACAAAAAGAATGAGAAACATGTATGTTGGTTTGGTTTTGTGATATTTAAATATCATTTGAATGGTGCAGCCCTAGAGACCAGAAGAGAGAAAGATGTCAAAATGTGTTAGAGATACTCACACAGCAGTGTGTAATTTAATGGCAAGGTAATATAATACAAAGTAATGTGTTACAACATGAAATTTTATAAAACTGGAGAACAACTAGGGCTAGTTTTATAATGTTAACATATTTTGCATATGCTTAATCAAGAGCAATGCTGTTGGTCTCTGCAGACGACACTGCAATTAAGATGCGTGCTTTTCTGCAATCACGAAGAGGGCAGGGTTAAATACCTGACCTCTCGCATTCAGCGTCATCCATCCATCTCGCACGACTGACCGCGACGCAGGCGGACGCAGGGCAAGAAAAACGAATGCTTCTTTCTGCTCCTTATTTCATCTGCTCCATTGTGATAGACATAAATCGGAGCGGGGATGCCCTCACGGATCCGCAGGGGGTCTTTGTGCGGGAGTCTTCTCCGATTTGGTTCCTCTATTCATGAGGAGAACTGCATATCTCCACACACACACATACACACACTTCCTATAGCATCCCAGTCATCATTTTACTGGGTACGTCTGGGGATGCAAGTCTAGACTAGGCCACTCTGTGTGTGTGTGTGTGTGTGTGTGTGTGTATTTCACGAGCATGTGACGCAGAATGACTGTAGCCCTGCTGCGTCTTCACGCCACTCTGACAATTTTGATACAAATCGGCTCTGAAGGCTGAGGTCAGTGTAACGTAAATAACAGAGAAAACGAGTTCAGCGAGAGAATAAGCAGTTTTGAAAAGCCAGCGGCCGCACAATGGAGATCCGCAACGGGCCAGAGCTGGATGCTGAAACACATGGTAATTCATTTTCGAGTAAAGCTTTCTTAAATTTGAATTTGAAAAGAAACAGCAAAGAAGAAAGAGTGATTAAATGGGCAAAAAAAAACAGTACAAAAGGAACAGGGTGCTTGTGGGAAGGCAAACAGCTCATAACAACACACAACCCAGCTGTTTACAACTATTAGACCCTAAAGGACAAATCCCAGCATAATCGCCCTGCAGTACACACATTTTCACACACACACACACGAAGGTTGCGTTTTACTGGGACTAGGGACGGGCGGTATGACCACAATCTTACATCATGCTATGAGTAACTGTATACATTAAAAAAAAGAATGTATTTATATAAATATATTCATATTTTACATGATGTAATATACATTATGGGGTTAAATATTTGAAATAACTGATGTATAAAGTTAGGTATTTTACATATATTTATAAAAAATTATTGTCTATTTATATGTATGTATTGAAATAACATACGTGTCATGCACATATATATACATGCATTGCATAGTATACGGTCCTATATATATATAATCGCGATTAATCGCATCCAAAATAAAAGTATGTGTTTACATAATATATGTGGGTGCACTGTGTATAATTGTTTTTTTTACATATAAACACACACATGCATGTACATTTAAGAAAAAATATTAATTATATATAAAATATTTATATTTATATATAATATAAATTATATATAAATCTATATACAGTATATGAAAATATTTCTTAAATATATACAAGCATTTGTGTGTATTTATATAAAATAATTACACACAGTGCACCCACATATATTATGTAAACACAAACTTTTATTTTGGATGCGATTAATCACGATTATTCGTTTGACAGCCCTAATATATATATATATATATATATATATATATATATTAGGGCTGTCAAACGAATAATTGACTACTATTGACTACAATACTATATATATATATATATATATAGTATTGTAGTCAATAGACCATTAAAAAAATGCTATAAACTTAAATTTTTATTGAAAATAAATTAAATGTAGCAATAAATAATTTTTTCTTCAATAATCTAGACTTAAATATTTTAAACAAACAAGTGTTTACATCAATATATTGATATATATATACATATTTCATAACATTTGAATACATAATATACACTTTTTTAAAATAAACTTCACAAACAAAAGATGAATGATAAATTCATGTTTCATCATGTTCAACAGAAGACTGCAATACTGTAAATATACAGTAAGCCATATATAAAGTCACCGGATTATTTGATGTTGGATTTTAAAACCACACCTTTGGATAAATTGTTGCATGAACAATATAACAGACTGGTGTGTTGACACATTTAAACCATATGATGATATAAAGCATCATACCACCCAGCCAATAACGGTGACGCTGCAAGAAACGCATCCTGCCATTGGACAGAGCATCCCAGCAAACATTTCCACTCCGGTGACGGTGAGTCGACAGAGGCACGGACTCGGATGAGCAACAGCACATTCACTCATCATGAAAAGTTCATCTTCCGTACAAGAATGAAAGTCGAAAGCTAGGAGATGACTGTGTCCGATCAACAAATGAAGGACGCTTTAGGAGTCAGTCACTCATGAGTCACAAACCTACATCAGCTCAGCTCGGTGATAAATGGATTACAGGAATTCTTCTTTCTCCAGGCTACACTCAGTTATTATGGGTCAAAATGACAGACTAGCCGTCGAACAAACGATTAGCTGTCATCTAGTTCACCTTAAAAACAGGTTAAACTCCTAAAAAGAGCATCACTTGAATGATTTGCCCAGTCACTCACTAAAACACCAACTGAAGTGATTCACCCTCAAAGTGAAACTCGCACCAAGTCAATGACTAAAGCCCAGTCTCCACATTCATTGATTCACTATGATGCGCTACCAAACACACAATCAGAGTGAAACAGTTGCCACAGGTTTCAGCCTGATCTATATTAATCACAACCTCTTTTCATTGAGAAGAGAAATAGACATTATAAACAGACTTTGTGTGGTGGCATGCGTCACATTTAGAAGGATCGAACTTGTCTAATCTCAATTTGCAAGTAATGACTGTGAAATGACAGAACTTCAAGGGCAAAACAGAACCCCAAATGCTTATGGAAATATTATATCAGGTTTATTAAAGCAAACATTTTCCCCAGGATCTTTTCAGACGAGTCATATATTAAAGTATGTTTCACTTTCACACTTACAAACACAATTACATAGGCAATAAAGAAGAGCTGCAGAACTAAACTCATCCACATATGGCTCAACATGTGCTGAACACAAAGCATGTAATCAAAAGCACAACTCTTTCCCTGACATGTTACCCCACAGTAATTTATAGTAGAAGAACATACACTGACATCAAAAACTCATGATATGACCAGAGGAACCAGGTGCAACAGCCAATGCACAAAGCAGAAAGTTAAACTTAAGCCTGGAGGATACAAGTGACTAAGAGAGCAATCCAACTGAACACCTCATGAAGTGAGTTTACATGTGAAGTAGTCCTCAGCATCTGAGTCACCAGAGCAGCTCATTATACTTGTATTTATTACTATCCCAAAGCTGATATTTAGATAGACACGTTTATACACATTGGCCAAATGGAAATTATTCAATCTTTTTTTATTAAAAATAATAACACATCGACTATTTCAGATATTAATTTCTGTAACTTTTCATGAGAGATGCGATGGATAGCGACACAGAGATAGTGACAGAAATAGGAGCAAACAGAGTAAAAGATCTATATAGGAATGGATAGAGAGATGGATGAACAGACGGGAAATATCCATCAGATAGACGACAGAGACAGAATAACAAGAGAGATAGAGTAAAGACAGATAGGGGAGATCAACAGAAACAAACTGATTGATAGAAGGCTATATCTAAAGAGATAAGAGGAGGAAACAGGGATACGGTGTTAGATCTACAGAGATAGATGTGTAAACAACACTGAGATTGAGTGTTACTACTACATCTATAGAGGGAGCGCAGCTGGGCGCCCGGGACTCATCTTACTATTGTTTTGCTCCAACTGCTCTGTTTCAAATATCTCTGTTCATAAAGCAGACTGAAGCGGGCAAGCCGGCAGCATCAGTGAGACTGCGCAGACTGCGAGTGTGTGTAAATGTGTGTGTGCTTAAGAGAAAGAGTTCTCACCTGGAATAAGAAAGAGCTCCAGCTCTGCTCCATCATCGCGTCTCACTCACAGAAACAAAGCGCTCAACATGGCAGAGCGAGACTTCCGCCACCCCGCGGACCGTACCACTCACGGGACGGGGGAATACATCAGCGGTTTGAATTGTTTAATTAATAAAATACCATTCAGTTCTACATTATGGTGATATATAAACATATTTATAGAAATATTTCTGTACGAGGCACTGTGTCTGTGCTCTCGGGGGCGAATGTCATGAAGTTCTTAATTTAGCGGTTGTCGGAACACCCCTGTTTTTCATCTCCATCTTGATAAACTCTCGGGACGCTCCAAAAAACAGAATTGAAGAAGTTGATGAATAGCGCGGAACTGTCGCGAGACTCGTCATAACTCACTGCGCGAGACTGACTGCAAGATTTATCTGCATTGAACATTCTCCATCCTTATCTGTAGTAGTTTTAATATATTTACTTATAATGCAGCGTTATGCATCTTAATGGATTAATCTAAGAGACTTGCCTCTTTTACTGAAACTTTTCAGTTAAAAAATATGTGTTCATAGATTCGTTCAGCGTCCCTATCTGTGTTCGAAATCACCCAATACCTTCATTCACTATTATTCCCTACATGAGTGCACAAATATAGTACACTTGAGTGAATGAAAACGTGAGAGCAGTTTCGGACACCGGGGGCACCGGTGCTGTTTAATACATTTATTTGAAACTTAGAAAACTGGCAGTTCCAGTATAGTTTTTTCTTTCTTTCTTGTACTCTGTTATGGAAACTAGCATGTAAACAATTGAATAATCAACCAAAAATAAATGTATAACTGTAGGCTTTGATATAAAGTTTTACACAACATTGGACAAGCAGTTTGGAAAATGGATGGATAGATGGATGATTCACGATCTTTTAGATGCGGGAATTTATTCGGTGTGACCCTCACTGTGCATTATTATGGGTATTCTAGCTGTTGAGTGTACGTAAGTATATCAGTAGTAGTACACTAGCCTATTTATTGCAGTATTAAATAAGGGCACTCTGTAGGTCCATTGTGGCTTCGGACACCACTACAAATGTTTCCTCAAATAATTCACTATGTAAAGGGCACTATACAACTAAGCTGACGGAGATGGTCCTCATTGCAGAACACGAAATTCAGGGGGAGGAGTTGGATCCAGATCCAACTCCTCCCACCTTACATATACCTAAACCTACCCATCTCCGCCCCCTGATCCCTAACCCCACCCCTAATCCTACCCATCTCCACCCCCTGATCCCTAACCCCACCCCTAATCCTACCCATCTCCACCCCCTGATCCCTAACCCCACCCCTAATCCTACCCATCTCCGCCCCCTGATCCCTAACCCCACCCCTAATCCTACCCATCTCCACCCCCTGATCCCTAACCCCACCCATAATCCTACCCATCTCCACCCCCTGATCCCTAACCCCACCCCTAATCCTACCCATCTCCACCCCTGATCCCTAACCCCACCCCTAATCCTACCTATCTCCACCCCCTGATCCCTAACCCCACCCCTAATCCTACCCATCTCCACCCCCTGATCCCTAACCCCACCCATAATCCTACCCATTTCCGCCCCTGATCCAAACCCCACCCCTAATCCTACCCATCTCCGCCCCCTGATCCCTAACCCCACCCCTAATCCTACCCATTTCCGCCCCTGATCCCTAACCCCACCCCTATCCCACCCATCTCCGCCCCCTGATCCCTAACCCCACCCCTAATCCTACCCATCTCCACCTCCTGATCACTAACTCCACCCCTAATCCTACCCATCTCCGCCCCCTGATCCCTAACCCCACCCCTAATCCTACCCATCTCCACCCCTTAGATCTGGATTTAACTCCGCCCCCTGGATCTCGTGTACTGCAATGAGGTGCGACTGCAATGTCGGGCTGTTTTTTAACGCGGGTTGGCATAGTTTTTCCGATGTGTTCCCTACCGTTGGCTCTAGTCGGACACCGTCTGGGTTTTTAGGACAGATTCAGCTTGTTGAATCGGCGTCGGTTCGTCGGTGAGAGAGTGAACTCTGATGGCTGTTTAGGACCTGGCCGCTGGTCTGGAAGAGGAATGGCCTCTAATAAATAATTGTGGTCAAAATCCAGGTGTTTCAGTCTCATTGAGACACACAATAATGATTAGCTGAAGACAAAGAGACAGTTTTGGTCTACTTTAGGATCGTTTTATAATGAAGAGCTCATACAGAGCAAGTCCTGAACTGAATTAACCTAATAACCCGATTTATTATCAGCAGGGTTCCCTTCTGAGGCAACGCATTCTCACCCCAAGGCGTCACCTTTGACCATGCTTCAATATTTGACGTTTTAGGCGCCCTTTAGCGTCACTTACATGACGCGATCCTACGGCGTCATCTAACTGACGCTAAAGGAAAGCGTCTGTTAGAGGACGCGGTTAGGTTTAGGTGTGGGGTGGGGGTAGGGTACACGCGATCCTAGGGCGTCATCTAACTGAGCGTCAGATATTGAAGCATGTCCAAATGCTTCCCAAGGCGTCAGTTAGGTTACGCCTTGGGAGTGAGAATGGGCTGTCTGAGGTCACCGGGTGTTTTTTTCTAGAAGTATAATAGTTATTTTTGCGTGGCTGTCAAACATTAAACCCTGGTTTCACAGACAAGAGTCCCAGTCTAAAATGCATGTTTGAGTTGCATTTTATTAAACATTTTATTTCATTAAACTGAAAGCAACTTACATTGGTAGGCAGCAGTAATATATACACAGCAGTAATATATTTATATAAGGCACGTTTAGCTATAAAAGCTACTTAAATGACCCAATTAAACTAAGGCTTAATCCTGGCTTAATCTAAGCCCTGTTTGTGAAATGAGGACTAAAAGATAAAATAATTTATTTAGGATTTCAATATGTCAATCAATAATGTAAAATAGCCTAAATGAATAAAAATAAACCAAATAAACAATATAAATAACTACTTTAATTAAATTTTATTTTATTATCTATAGGTCTATATTAATTACATGTTTTACTTTTACTAAAGAACAAATTTTCTGGTATTTTCTGTTTTGAAGAAAATGACCTATTAGCTGTTTTCCAGAAAGGATCTGTCATGACACTGGTTGCATCAGGATCAGATGATTTGGACATTTTGTTCTTGCGGTGAACATGATATGAAATGTGACCTGAATATAGCCCTTATATAGGCATTTTAGCTTAAAAATATCCTCTTCTTCCATGATGATCCTATAGCGTAAGGACCTTTTAAACTGCTTATGTTTGGCACAAAAAAGTCTAAAGACCTGCTGAAGTACAGTGAGGTCAAGTGTGAAGAAATGGGAAAAGCTGAATTACACACATTTAAAAAAACACACTCTAGTAAACCCAGACTGGTGGCTATAATTCTATTATATATATATATATATATATATATATATATTACTGATGTCATGACTCTTTCCAGGTGTATTTCTGTGAATAACTCTTTTCATCACTCCTTTGGCTTTATCAAAACACAGTGAAAATCGGCTAGGTTAATGGTTTAACTTATTTTAACGGTCTTTCCAAACCTGTATGAATTTCTTTCTTCTGTTGAACACAAAGGAAGATATATTGTAGAATGTCAGCAACCAAACAGTTAACTGGACTCATTGACTTAATACTATGGAAATCAGTGGGTGCCGTTCCTCAAAATATATTCATTTGAGGTCCAAGTCATACAGGTTTGGAACAACTTGAGAGTGATTATGATGACAAAATTGCAATTTTTGGGTGAAATATCCAATTTTTTTTATTTTACTTTTTTATTGTAATTTATGCCACTAAACCCACTAAAGCTTTTTGTTTTATAGATGTATTCAGGCTCCAAGACCAGAACAAGAGATGTTGTATTAATATTAATTTAATATAAAATGCATCACAAATGTGCAACAGATGGAGATTTTGTAGATTATTGCGTAACAGGAGAATCATGAAAACATGCAGGAGGGATTAATGCTGTCACAGAGTTGGTCCACAGGAGGGCGCTATGGCCATGCAAACATGCCGTTTTCAATAGGATAATGCAATGCAACTTTTTTTCTACAAAAATTCACAAAGGACATGATTGTTTTGAAAAGACAATAATTTTTATTAAATACGTATAAATGTTTTTAATTTTTTTAATACGTATAAATGTTTTTTTTAAATGTTTTAAATCTTTATAATATACATATATATAGGCTATAAGAATAACATTTTAAATATATTTAATATTTAATACAACAAATAATTGTCTTTTCAAAACAATCATGTCCTTTACATGAATATATATATATATATATATATATATATATATTTTTTGTAAATATAATATTATACACTAATTGTATACAATATGAATAGTGTGCACTCTACTCTTTTAGGCCCATTTATGCTTTTTATTATTCTTTTAGGACTAATTGATTTCTACATATTAATAAAATCGTATTCAAATTATCAAATTAAAATAATACAAATTATTATCTTTATCTTTCTATCTATATTTGTTTAATTTTTATTTAATTCGTTGCACTGTGTAGGCTATATCAGACAAATTAAAATGTTCAATTATTCTAAGTATCTCTCAAGCTAGAAGTCTCATAGTCATGCAGGAGACTTTGGTCAAATCTTCTTGAAGGGATCATCATATCCAGCAGGGCTCAGTGAGCCGGGAGCGCGCTCAGCTGATGCGCGCGTCCCACTGACAGTCCAACAGTGTTTCCACAGGACCGGTGCAGCAGTTCAGTGCGCACCGGGGATCGCCAGACTATTTCATCAGTGTTTCAGCGGTAAGTATGTTTATCATTAGCGGTGTTTGTCTTCAGCTCAACGTACAGGTGAACAGACTGTCTGTTTGCTTTTATGCGGAATAAAGAGGCTTAGTGAAGCGCATTACGCGAACCAAAACATTCACCTTAAAGCCATATGATGTGTTTCACTTTATACAAGATCAGAGAAATGATATAAATGCAGGTGTGACTATGTGTAAATACTGCATCAAGGGGCAATATATTAAAGTCACATATCTGAAAAACAAAAATCCGATGTACTTTCAGAGCTGAATCAATTCACCATTAGGCTACACGATAGACGCGATTCTGCAGGCGAGGTCAAGTGATTTCGTATCGTAAATAATGTGTTAAATAGTTTTGAGATTAAAAATTAGAGTTTAATTTAATTCAAAGAGGAAGCGTTGAGGGGGAGATGAATCGAGGAGTTTCAGGAAGTGCTTCATATCTACTCGTTTTGTTTGGATAATCGGGAAAACTGATCGATTTAAGATCATCACGAATTTATGGTTCTGTGTTTTATGTCATTGTTTTATTAAATGTATAAACAATGATATAACTGTTGTCGAGTTTTTGTAGGCTACCTGTCAGGAAAGGTAAGAAGAGCCAATGAGAGTGGGTGACGTCACACAGCGGTCTTTCGTCACATGTCCACTTTTTTACTCTTTTGTTTAATAAATAATGTGGGTTAGTTAGCCGAGTTAACCCACGAATTACTGAAATGACTGACATGGACATTGTTGCTGTTCTGTCACAATATCATACTTAGCCTATTTTCTGAGATACTATATATAGGCTCACAGTCACATTTATTATTATTATTAATAATAACTACAACATTTTTTTATATTATTATTATTATTTAGAGATTTTAAAACATTTAATGTGCCTTTTAAACTACACTCTAAAAAATGCTGGGTTGTTTTAACCCAATTTTGGGTCAAATACAGACAAACCCAAATGTTGGGTTAAAAATGTACTTAAAAAATTGGCTGGGTTTGTCCATATTTGACCCAAAATTGAGGTGAAACAACTCAACAACGTTTTTTAGAGTGTACTACATTCACAAACAGGCTACAGCAAAAGGAAGGAAGCCTTAAAAATGTCTTGTGTTTGTCAATCTGTTGTTTTAGACGAGGGCTTCACCTGCTGTGGAACTGTCATGACTGAACGCTATTATTGAAGAGAACAACATCTGCTAGATTCTACATTTAGGCCCAACCATGTTCCACTTGATCAAGAAAGATAAAGACAAGGAGAAGGATGGATCAAAAAAGGAGAAAAAGGAGAAGAAGGAGAAAAAAGAGCGAATGTCTCTAGCCGAGCTGAAGAGTCTCGAGGAAATGAGCGTGAGGAGAGGTTTCTTTAATCTCCATCGGAGCAGCTCTAAACGGGAGTCGAAAGGAAAGCTGGAGATTTCCAGCCCCATTCCCATCAAAGTGGTCCGAAACACAGAGCTCAGCCTGGCGGATGTGGACCTCAGGAAACTCTACACTCAGGGGGCCGTAACGCCCTCAAGCTCAAGCGATGACATCAAGGTGGAGCAAGATGGCCGCCGGAATTCCGTCAAAGAGCAGGTGGCCAAGATTGACTCCATGACGAAGCAGAACTCTCCGGTAGAACCGAAGCAGAACTCTCCGGTAGAACAAGTCTTAGAGCGCTTTTCTTTCTCACAGAGGAGCCTCTCACCGCCAGGCCACAACTCCACCCGTCCCTCACCTCAGGTAGAAGTCAACCCATCAGCTCTAGATGATGAGAGCCCTGTGAAGAACGTCCAGGTCCCAGAGATAGTGGACCGAACGTTCCCCGCAGACTTGCGCTTGCCTGCTTTGGCGCCTCCTCAGGTTCCTGCGCCACGGGAGTTGGAACTTCAGCGGCGCAACACTGGCGATTTCGGCTTTTCCCTTCGCCGCATCACCATGGTGGACCAGCAGCCCGATGGGTCGCCCTACCGAAAGGTGGTCCACTTCGCTGAGCCCGGCGCTGGGAATAAGGACCTGACTTTGGGGCTGGTGCCAGGTGACCGTCTGGTCGAGATCAACGGCAGGAACGTGGAAAGTAAAAACAGGGATGAGATCGTGGAGATGATCAAGCAGTCCGGAGACACGGTGCGTCTGAAGGTGCAGCCCATCGTGGAGCTGAGTGAGCTGAGCCGCTGCTGGTTGAGGAACACCAGAGGCCTGAACCATGAGGTGAGTTACGTATGTTTGTAGCTTGGGTGGAATAGTGTGTGAAATCACACGATGAGGACTATAAAGGAGCAGTTCACTTAAAAAAAACACTTTTGCTGATAATTTACTCACCCCCATGTCATCCGAGATGTCCACGTCTTTCTTTCTTCAGTCGAGAAGAAATTGAAAGCATTCCAGGATTTTTCTCCATATAATGGATTTCAATGGGGACCAAACGGTTTAAGGTCCAAATGAGAGTTTCTTTGCAGCTTTAAACGACACCAGATGATGAATAAGGGTTTTATCTAGCGAAACGAGTGGTCATTTCAAATATAAATTAAAAAAATTAAGTTTTATAAGCACAAATGCTCGCCTTGCTCTGTTCTGTGATGCACTTCGTGACTCTCCTGTTCATCAAAATGAACGAATCTTTTTTCGAGTCATTTCGTACGTTGAATGAACGAAGTGACTCGAAAAAAAGATTCATTCGTTTCATCAAGTTTTTTTAAAGTGAACTTCTCCTTTAATACATTGAGCCATGGAGCCAATGTGGAAGGCGTGGGTTTGAGTCTGGTTTGCATATCGAGGGTTTGGAGCCAGAGGGGCGTAAGTGACTTTTAACAAACTTTACAGGAGAGACAAAACAAACACTTCAATCACCTGTATTATTAACCTTAAATCAGAAACATTGCAACCACAGGCATACTTACTGTACATGAATGAGTATTTAAGTAAAAAAAAATGTATGGCATATTAACACAATGAATATGTTCTAAAACATTTTCAAAAAAAAAACAAAAAAAAAAAATCAAATACGTCAGATAAGCCTTTTTGTTGCTTTATTCAATACAGCTTGATATCAGATAGGTATTTTTTGGCACCATTGGATAGAGCTCATCGAGACCTTTATTTTGATATAAAGAACTCATATTCGCCCAACTCATACTGGCACCAAGCCCTCGATATGTGCTTCTTCTTCACATCATTTTCTGTCGTCTCCCCAACGAAACTGTGTCAGTGTAGTCTGATAAATAAAGTGATTAGCTAAAAGTGTAATTTGGACGGGATGTGTTTGCCGTTTCTCAGGTTTTTCAGCACATTTTCAGATGGTAGATCAGTTACAGCCTTGAGGTATTCTGTGAATTCAGAGCAATATGAGTGTTTCTGGTGACGGCTAAAAAGACAGCTGGTGATGATGTTAACAGTTTCATTGAGACAGCTCAGGGGGGTTTAATAACCTGTCTTCTCACCCATAATGCATCTGGATTTGTGTAGAGTTCCATCTGAGTGCAACGAATAGCAAACAAGCCTCTGACGTCTGATTTTTTGTGATATTTCCTGTAGCTTAAAGGTTCACTTTTAAAAAAACCTTGGCTGATAATTTACTCACCCCCATGTCATATAAGATGTGCACGTCTTTATTTCTTCAGTCGAAAAGAAATGAAGGTTTTTAAGCATTTTTCTCCATATAATGGACTTCAATGGGGACCAAACGGTTCCCAATGAATCAGGCCTACTTAGTTTAGGGCTGACGTCCAAAATTTGATCTAGCTCTAGCTCAGTGAAGAGATTAAAGTGCATTGAGTGATTTATTCGTGATGTAGAATAATGTGGGGGAGGTTAAAATATAGAATATTGTGTTTCGTTTGGCCTTTTGAACCGTAAGAGGTTTATCCTGGTGTAGCGAGAGCATCTGGCCCGATCCTACAGAGCAGATCTTCACACAAACTGGTGCGAGAATAGGAAGAGACAGGTGTGTTTAAAGTGAACGTTTTGGTCAAGCTAATCAAATGAGTGTGTCGTGGATGACATGAGTCAGCGATCACTCCTGCTAAACCTGTTGTTCTGTTTGAATAGGAGTGTGTGTACCTCTTTATATGCTTTCTGCTAATGGATAACCAGAAAAATCTCAGTGTCAAAGTCTAAATGTGTCATTTTAGAAAACCATCAACAAGTGTGCCGGACCATTAGAAACATATTAAAGCCAACCCAGTGAAAAAATAAACGTTTTGGGGGTAAACCGAGAATACCTTTAATTAAAAACATTGTATATGTTGTATATGTCTATAAAAATCACTTGTTGATATCATTGGGTCTAGTTGCCTACATGCAGATACAGTACATTTATGCAGTCTAGATGCTTTTGGACAAATTTGCCCCGACAACACTGAAAGATCGGAGCGCATCAGTCAGAGAAGAGGCTGAGAATCTGGGGCATTCAAGTTTTCTCCTAATTCCTGCTACCAAATAGCAATAACTCATAATATTTGATTTAATGATACAAAATGCATATCCTCATGCAGGCTGCCTCAAATGATGTTATCAGATCTGATCAGGTTATATCTGCTGTAATGAGGTGCACCCTTTGTGATGAAGTGGCCTGTCTCTCCCAGGAGTCCCACTGGGGTTTTTTACTGGCCCACTTTAAGCCGAGTTCAGAAAAAGATATGACACATTTGGGATTGGCCTAGAAGCGATTATTCTATATAAAGATTGTCATACAAAAATCTAGACTATGCCACTGTGGAGAGCTCTGTGTTGCTTGTTGCATCTATTGAAAAATATGTTAAAATGTTCTTCAGTATTTCAGTGCACTTGTATTCCAGTTTAACAGGTGCTCTGCCACTCATTCTTCACATTGCAAACATTTCTTTCAATGCAAATTAGGATCTATATAGAATTAATTAACTCAAATTATCTCGATTTGCCTGGTGCAACTAATTTGACCTTATTCAAAAGCAACAAAAAAAATTTTTTTTTTTCTATTCATATGATATGCATTTCTTTTGAATGTGATGCAAATAAACAACACTATTAGTGGTGTAAATTTACTATTGTTTATTATTTTGAATTAGTTTTCCATTTTTATATTTACAGTTTTTATTTTAGTAAAATGTATGTATATTTTTAATAAACATACACATTTAATAAACAAACTTTATTAATAAAAAATTATTATTTTTATACTTCTTATTGGCATTAATTTATTTTAATCGCAGTTTTCATTTTAGTAAAATGTATGTGTATTTTTAATAAACATATTCTAAACATAAACATATTAATAAACAAACATTATTATTATTATTATACTTATTGGCATTAATTTATTTTAATTACAGCTTTCATTTTAGTAAAATGTATGTATTTTATTAATAAACATATTCTAAACATAAACATTTAATAAACAAACTTTATTATTATTATTTTTATACTTCTTATTGGCATTAATTTATTTTAATGGCAGTTTTCATTTTAATAAAATGTATGTATATTTTTAATAACACACATTTAATAAACATATTAATAAAAAATTATTATTTTTATACTTCTTATTGGCATTCATTTATTTTAATTTTAGCATTAGTAATTTATACTATACAACTTAAACTTATTCATTTCAATTAGTTTCTGAGGCAAGATTTATCTTGATGAGGTGTGTTTCATCTTATTTTTAACTTAATTTCAGTTTTATAATAGTTTTATTTTAATAATAGTTTTTATTTAATAGTGTTTATTATAACCAGTGTTAGGGATATTTACTTTTAAAAGCAATGCATTACAATATTGCCTTACTCCCTAAAAAGTTACTATTTGTGTTAGTTATTTTTTATGGAAAGTAAGTGTCTTTTGCATTATTTATCACCAAACCGTTCAGCTCTGCTGCTTTTCTGCAGAAGAGATAGGAGGATATACGGGAGAAGGAAGTTCAACCAGAGCATTATATTTCATGCATACAATAGAAATGAATGAGAAACTGAATGTAAACTGAATCCTACCTGCTACCGCAACTGTCTCTGACTTCTCTTCTCCATTGACTTGGCCCTTTATCGTAGCGTTACACTATTGTTTGCTAACTTTCAAGGCTTGCCTTAAAGTGGCTTTGGTCCTTCAGCAACAAAAACTAAAACACAAATGTGATGTTTATCTAAAGTCATTGTGGCTTATTAGTACGGTTGAATTGGATAGCAGAGAAGACATTGGTTAATAAATTGACATGAAATACTTGGTACATTTGTTTTATTTGACAATTGGCATTAGTCGATGAATGGGAAAACAAAGTTGCATTACTTATTTGCAAAAGCAACTCAGATATTTTGTTGTAGATTTAAAAGCAGTGCGTTATTGTACTTGTTACGTGGAAAAAAAATTCCCTTCATAACTGAAATGCTCAGGGAAGGCAGATCCTCTTATGTCATGCAGCATGTGTGGCTTCACTGCCAATAGAAATGTTTGGCATTTGTTCAATCATAGTGTCTGTGAATGTGACAGGAAGCCCTTGTGAATTTTTTTGTCAGGTTTGATTGTTTGCGCTGATAGTTTACCAGATAGACAGGTTTCGGCTGCGTTACTGTACTGAGAACAACAACACTTAAAGGCACACAGTCACCTCACACCCTCTCCGGTCCTCTTAACTGAAGGATTGGCATCGGAATGAATGAATGAATGAATGAATCAACATGCTCTTCTTAACCTTTTGTGTGTGACTGCTGTTGAGAAATCTGAACACACAAATGCTTTCAGGGCTTTTTTGACTACATGAGCATGCTTCACGAATGCACATAAAGGCATACAACGTAGACGTTTGCTAACATAAAGCCACCCACCCTTTATATATCAACACCTATTCAGTATCAGTGTATCTCGACCTGCCCTGATGAACTGTGCTGATGCATAAAGGTCAGCCAATCATAGCTAAGCTGATTCACGTCTTAAAGTGTTAAAGGTTATTTCATTTATATTGTGCTGTTACAGAAATGCACTATAGCTACACATTTTTATTTCATTTTTAAGTATGTATTTTATGGTCAAACTTTTTACACCACACTCTAAAAAATGCTGGGTTGTTTCAACCCAAATTTGGGTCAAAAATGGACAAACCCAAATGTTGGGTTAAAAATGCTATTAAATAAATTAGAGTTGAAGTTGGGTTAAAATTTGAAATTAAATTTTTAAGTTTTTTTTTTTAGTAAAGTTTAGTATTTAGTATAGTTTAGTAAAAAAAATATATATATATTTTTAGT